GAAAAGAGAGGGGATACTATTACTGCGGTCCATTCTAGAACAGCAGAACTGGAGAGGCGCTTTGGGAGCATCCAGGCCTTCCTCTCTCAGTGGGGGGAAAACGGGGCTCGAACAGGTCGTGTGGCTTTGCGAAGCCACCTGGCCGGCAAGCGGGAGCCAGGGCGGCCCAGCCGATGCCCACCTCCTTGATGACCTTGCCCCCGCGGTGGATGGTGCTGTTGTTGACCATGTCCACGATGGCCACGCCCAGGTTGCAGCGGATGCCGAAGGAGATGCAGAAGCCCAGGCCGCTCATGACCGCGATGATGTAGCGGCGCGGCAGGCCGAAGCACGTGCAGTCGCACAGCGGCGCCTTCTTCTCGGGCACCTGCAGGGGCTTCCCATCCTCCGTCAGCTCGATGGTCTCCCCGGTGTCCTGCTTCTTCTCCAGCACCCTGCGCGGCAGAGCGGGGGGCGGGGAGAGTCAAGGACGCAGAGGGTTAGGCGCCCCCAGTGCCGGCCCACTCTGTGTTGCAGGACTTGCCAGAGCTAAGGCGAAGGCCTCTGACCTCACCCCTCCCTCAGGGGTCAGGGGGGTAGGCGACACCAAGCTTGAAGACCTCTCGCGCTCCCTAGCATTCTGCCCTTCCCCCTCCCCGCGGTGGCATCCCTTCAATACCTTGAGGCCTAAAACCCTGAGTCCCCGTTATCTCGGGATCCACCCCTCCGCGCCTTGATTCACAAATACGAGCTGCTCGGGCCTAACTTTCTTGGGTTCTGCAGTTTGTCAGGGAAGGGGTTACGGAAGTCTTCTCCGCACCTGTGTAGACACCTCCCCACCCCGCAGTGCCTTTCACCCGCGACTGCAGGTGTCATCCTGCCACCCCGCTTTCCGAGGCTGCTCCACCGCGGGCGGGCCCAGCCACAGCCCTGCACCCGCGCTGCCTTCTTTTCAACCAAGTGGAAGCTTTCGGTGTTGAGGACGCCAGAATCCCGCGCCTCAGCTGAGCCCGGCCCCCCTACCCAAGGACTGAGGCCTCTCCGGGCTGGCGCCCACGCGGAGAAGGGCTGAGAACCTCTCAGAGTGTCAAGCACTTTATTTCCGTTTCCTTTAGCCCTAGGGTGCCAATTCAATGCTTACTCCCCTCTTACACATCTTACTTTTTTTTTTTTTGCATTTTACTGGAGTTGCAGACAAAGACCTCCGCAGCATATGGCCGACACCTAAGCTTCCTACTGCCAGAACATGAATAATTAATTATTCACAATCTTCCATCATTACTATCTTGGTTACAAACACTGGAAAATGTCTTGGGCCCATTTCCAAAGACTTAAAATCCGACTTCCAGATATACGAACGCACCCCCAATAAACTTTCGTAAGACGTTCCACCCAAGGCGGAAGATCTCACTTAATTTTTTTTCATAGTATTTCAGAAGATTTCAGCCGTCTGATTCAATTCTTTTCGGGCTTTGGTCCCTGGGAGAAAGGGGAGAGGAGGAGGGGAACGCGGAGTGGAGTTATGGAACCGTTTTATTAAAAGGTGGTAGTATTGTTATAACCCACACCATATCCGCGAAATTTCTATTAACAAAAATAAATGCGAAAGGTAACATCTCTGTAGCCCCTTGGGACTGATACTTTTGATATTTAAACATAGAACCTCTTCATTTACAATTTGCAGATATTTTTCCAACCCACTTTGTAATTATTTTTATCTGTGCTCTTTTAAATGATATATGCACACACAATTGTTTTCACACACACGGGTGAAGCACTGACATTTTTAGATCAATTCCAAGAATGCATAGCTTGGGATGTTGCTGTCAAGCAATTTGAGGCTACTGGAAAAGAATGTCAGACTTCCAAATTCTATAATTCAACTGGGGAATAGGTCATAAAGGTATTTGCGGCTAGGTTAATGCTTATTCTTAAAGTCCAATCGACATTTTAGAAAACATTGCGATTTATACTGGGGGGAAAAATCAGCCAATGTGACTTATTTATTTATGTATTTTGCATTGGTTTCATATGCTCAAATATGCAAAGTTGAACTCTGCATCTGAACTCCCCACCTGATGGCAGTTGGGCTGAGAAAGAACAGCCCTTCCCAAGGTAGCTGCGGGACTGCAGGGCCCTTGCGGTATCTACTGCGGCATAGGTACATAACCTTGCCTACAGGAAGCCCACCAGAACTGAAGAGATTTGAAAAATTAGGAGGAGCATTGGTCATTTTCTTTACATTTCTTATATATTTACAAAGACTTCAATTTCCCAAATGTAAAAATTAGTGCTCTCTTGGAATCATTTATCCGTTTGTGTCTGCCCTCTTTTTAATTTTCCTTATGTTAAGAAAAAATGTGTTCATGTAACACATTTTAAATTATTTAAAGTTGTGCAATTTATAACATAACTGGCATAGTGACTCCAGGAGGATAAAATTTTTAAAAAAATCTTTTCTGGACCTTTCAAAATAATTTTGCTGGTTATTATTATGGTGGTTCTTACAAGTACTGTGATATTTTCCACTCAAGAAATAGACTTCCAG